GATACTTTCCCTCCCAGCAGAGGAGTGACCCTTCCTCCCTCCCATTGGAAGGGAAGGTGTCCAATTAGCGGTGGTGATTGACATCCTGTAGCCGCTTGTGAATTGATGGGCTCCGACTATTCACAAGTGGCTCAGCTGTCAATCAGTCGCGATTTCTCTCCCTTGTTCTTCCCTGTTCCTCCACCTACACTCACTGATTGACAGGCTGGACACCTCCAGCTTGTGAGCGTCTGGACTCCTCTGTCAATCAATCGCGATTTGACGCCCCCCATTCCCTCCCTTCATTCTTCCCTGTTCCTCCGCCACCCCCCTCCCCTCCTCCCTGATTGACAGCCCAACTCCAGCCACAAGTGAATGGCTGGACTACATTGTCAATCGCAATTTGACTTTTCCCATCTACATCCAGGAGTCCCCCATGGCTGAATGGAAGACACAGAAGACCCGAGTGAGTAGATTCTGAAGGCGACCAGTGTGGCATTTTATCCAGAGTAACTGGATTTTCGTCCGAATCAACCAGCATACTTAAAACAGGTAGGAATACAAATGAATTGGGGCTGGGCATTTTGTTCAATTTACCTAATGCCCAGTGTTAACTGGTGTCCGGCAAAAGCAGATGCCACTGTATTTTCTTGTGCTGTTCTACCACGTTTTAAAGATATAAAATAACTTCCAATTAAAATAGCGATTCATACTGTACTAATTTTACTTCAGAAAAGAATTCAACAAAACATCAGTTTCAAACTTAGTTTTTTTTAAACCTACTAGAAACTCTTTCTGATCTTCATCTTAACACTAACTACCAGTTACCTGGAGCTGATCTGTTGAGTTGTTTATTCTACATAGTAATTTTGTCTCAAACTTAACACCATAGAAACCCCTTGGCTACTTGTACTAAAGATTGGGAAACATTCTGAATACCGGATGTCCTGCAGTTCTAAAGCTGTTGCTACAAAGTCTGGTAATGCTGAATATTATACCACATTATTAACCGTATATTGTCTTTAGATGGCAATTAGACAGAATTTCACTGCAAATAGTAGCTATATGTATTTTTCAATATTTAAGAATTTTGTGTACAATGGTTCTATTATGTACTTAACATGTTGGAGTATCAACAAGATCACACTTTAAAACGATCCTCACCCACCCCACCCATTGAAATTAACATCTGCAAATAAAACTCATCCATTAAACAATGTTAGCATGATCTGAAACCTCCTTAGCTCCAACATATGACTTCTCTCATAGCTTAATTTAAAGAAAATTAAATAAATATTTTCAAATTGCATTCCGTTAGTCACAGAAATGAAGAAAATGATTATAGTGGATGCTTCTTCAGATGTGCTATTCAAAACAAACATTACAGAGAGAGGAGAAAAAACATTTGTAACATAATATCATCAAAAGAAGATCCATGAGGATAACAAATGTTGTACAAATGAACCTAGGTTACCTCAACAATTTATATCAATTAAATAAAATGAAATCGAATTTTAATAATTGTTCTCTGCCAAACAACTGACTGGCTCCACTGCTGTCTCTGACTTGGTTATGCAAGACCCCCTTCTTTCTATGGATACTGTACAACACAAGGCAGTGTGAGCAGCACACAGAAAATTAGATTGATTCAAGTTGAAATCCAGACAAAGCATGAATGACATAATTTGTGCACTGTACCATAACAGTGACTTGGGAGATTCCACCTGTAATAATATCCATGGCTGATATAGCAGGGCAGCAACTTGGAGAAGGTCCTGAATGGAATGTTGCCAGATTGAAATGAACAATGTGGGAAGCTTATTTGCTGACAGATACATTATAATTCGCAAAACAAATGAACTGTGCAAAACTTCACATGAATCCAAACTATGCTTTGTTACAGGAATGTCACAAAATCTGTTGCAATACCGCAATTTTTTTTAAAAGTCAGTGACTATCACAGGATCCCATTTTACAATGACAGGCAAAGTAGGTGAATATCATTTCTTTGGTGGGAAAAGGCAGGGAAACAGAGTTAAAACAATCTGCCATTATCTATTGTACTGATGGAACAGGCCTGATTTCCTTCTGCCTATTCCCATCCTACAACAAAGAAAATGTATCAAAACATGATTATGAATGCAATTCCAAAAGATTGTTCTGTGCAAATATTATCCAAAAAGATTGAATTATACTGTCCACAATATATAATATACAATGACATCACCCACAACATTTTTACATTGAATATACATGATTTAGAATGAGTGATAACAGGTTGTTCTGCTTTGATATTTTGCAGCAGTGTAAATATTCCAAAAATTGTGATTACAACAACTACCTGTACCAGCAAAATCAAATAGTTATCTTTAACAGTGCAATTTTCCATTTACTTGAGGGTGGAGAAATCATATCACATTGAATCATATTCTGGAATAGCTCTTATGAGCTCAATCCAAGTGTGACATTTATTATTTAACTTTAGTAAACCAGTTCAATGCTATACACCCAAATTACCAGTCCTAAACAAAATCTTGCAAGGTCGCTTAAAATACTGTATTATCAAATGGCTTTTTACATTACAAAAAAGTTGGACCCCCGTCTTCCTCTTATTTTGCTTCTCACGCATTCACATCTTTGGAATCTACGCTTGCAATACCATGAGTGTTTTCACGTCAATAATAATTGCCAGTTGCAAAACCAAATTGCACCACAGCAGTAATAATCAAGACGGTTTATCGGATACTTTATTCACTGGAAAGATGCCACCTTACTGAGTCCTGACACTTAAGTCCTATCGGCCCATAGCATACTCCATGAGAACAAAATATCATCACCTTCATACCTGCTACAAGTTTCAACCAGTCTCATATATTCTTAACGGACCCACGCAACACAACCGTATCGCTTGCTAAAGAGGCAGCACCCGTTAATCTCAGGATTAGGGCAGGGAAAAGGGGGAATGGTGTGATCTATAATCCCAATCTACAGAACACAATGTTCAATCCGATACCAAATTTGACGAATTGGTGTTTACAAATACTGTCCACTGTAAACCTTTGACCCAATGTCACATTAAGCTTTCATTAACATTGAATTAGCTGTTTATGAGATTCAAAAGTATATTTCACGATACTTCAAAGTACCATTGCACAAACAAATGGCATAAGAAATCTGACAGAATCGGCAAATGACCGTACACTACTGATGTCTGATTTAAAGGCAATGCAGTGTTTGTAAACATTTCACTTTCGACGACAGACCATCTCTCGGTCGTGAGGTTCGTGAGATCGCAGCGTTTGCCATTGAATAACAGTGATTCGGACTTCACTGCTGAACCGCTCGACGCCGAACACCTCGAACGCGACGTCGTTTTCGGTGTAAACCGAAGCAAAAACTGTCACATAAAAGATTTTCACCCATTAGGAAAATGGGAAGGGGGAGGGCTCGAGTTATAAAGGAAAAGCTTCTCCATTGGGGGGTGGGGGGGGAAAAAAAGTACCAGAAGTTTCACGTGAATGATAAACAAGTGAGTGAAAGTCACAGGAACAGAGCAACACACAGCACACAGTCCGGTTGGGGCTCCAGAGGAAAAAATACAACAACCCCGCGTCTTATCCGGGGGTTGAGATCAAAAAAGTAGCATAAAAAGGTTAGTCAGAGACCGTGACAAATCCAAGGGATAAACCCAGCACTTCCCCCCAACCCTCGCGTCAGGCACAGCGGTCCCCACACAGTCCTTTTCGCCTCCTTTTTTTTAAAAAAAATTTAAAAAAATAATATTCTTTTTTTAATGGAATAATAATTTAAAAAAACTTTAAAAAAAACTCAACGGCGCTCGAGCTGTGGCGAGAGAGAGAGCTCTTTTTTTTTAGTATTCTGCAGAGGAATGTGAGTGCGTCCAAAGGTCCCCGAGAATGGATTATAACCTTTCCCTCCCTCCCCCCTCCCTCCACACTCACCCCAACAACTCTCTCCTCCTCCCTCTCCCTCCTCTCCTTCTCCTTCTTCTCCCACTTCTCCTCCTCCTCCTCCCTCCTCTCCTCCTCCCTTCTCTCCCTCCTCTCCTTCTTCTCCCACTTCTCCTCCCTCTCCCTCCTCCTCTTCTCTCTTCTCCTCCTTCCTCCTCCCCTCCTCCTCTCCTCCTCCCTCCTCTCCTCTCCCTCACTCCTCTTCCTCCTCCTCTCCTCCCTCCTCCTCTCCTCCTCCCTCCTCCTCCTCCCTCCTCTCCTCCTCCCTCCTCTCCTTCTTCTCCCACTTCTCCTCCTCCCTCTCCCTCCTCCTCCTCTCCTCCTCCCTTCTCCCTCCTCTCCTTCTTCTCCCACTTCTTCTCCTCCCTCTCCCTCCTCCTCTTCCCTCTTCTCCTCCTCCCTCTTCTCCCTCCTCTCCTTCTTCTCCCACTTCTCCTCCTCCCTCTCCCTCCTCCTCTTCCCTCTTCTCCTCCTCCCTCTCCCTCCTCCTCCTCCCTCCTCTCTTCCTCCCTCCTTTCCTCCTTCTCCCACTTCTCCTTCCTCTCCCTCCTCCTCCCTCTCCCTCCTTTCCTCCTCCCTCTCCCGCACTAGGCCTGAGCCCAGAGTCCTCTATTCAGCACAAAACTTCAAACGAATCGCCTCCCTCCCTCTCCCTCTCTCCCCCTCCTCTCTCTCTCCCTCTCCCCTCTCTCCCCTCCCTCTCCCCCCACTCTCCCTCCCTCTCCCTCTCCCCCCCCCCCTCTCCCCCCTCTCCCTCTCCCCTCCCTCTCCCCCCCTCTCGCTGCTATAACCTGTTGACAATAAAGCTTCAGCAACAAAAGAACTAAAAGACGAAACGCCGGACTCTTACCTTCCCAGAGGGCGGGTTTTGGAGAGAGGGAGGAAAGGGAGTGGGAGGTGGACAGAGAGAGTCACACACAGAGGAAGTTCGGCCTCTCTGACACCGTGAGCGTCTCCAGGACACCGCTCCCTGTGAGCCTCACCCCCTCCCTGTGAGCCTCACCCCCTCCCTGAGCCTCACTCACTCCTCACTCGCTCCCTGAGCCTCACTCGCTCACTCGGTGCCACCGCTGATGCTGTGCCTCAGTCTCCCCCAAAAGCTCCGGCGTTGGGTTTGCGCCTTTACGCTCTCACTGCTTCCCCCCCGGAGCGACGTGTGTTCTTTCCCCAACACCACCACCAGCCGCCGCTCCCAGACTCTCACCAATCCCTCATTGGAGGAGCCTCCTCCTCCCTCCCCTCTCCTCCCTCCCTCCCTCCCCCTGAATGTCCCAGGACTGCTCGGCTCCCAGCCCAGCCTCTCCCTCCCTCTCCCTCCCTCGTCTGGGGACAAAGGTGAAGCAGTAGCCACGTTAGGAATGTTTATGCTGCGGATACGAACAGAGAGGACAGAAAGAAAGAAGAAAAGGAAAAAAAAAGGGAGGCGGTTGAAGAGGAGAGAGAGAGAAATCACAGGGTGACTTCCACTCCCAATGTTTATCACCCCCCCACCCCCAAAAAAAAAGGACTCTCGAAGCAAACTGTCACAGAGACAACAGCCCCCCCTTTTTTTTTTGGGGGGGGGGGAACTTATTCCACTCTCCCTTTCATTTTTTTTGCAAAAAATACATAATAAATTTTGTGCAACACCCCAGGGGGACATTCGATTGGAAGATAAAGTTCTGACCAGTCGCAATTGAGTTCAGTTCTCTCTCTTTTTTTAAAAAAAACAACCCCCCCCCCCCCGCCACCCCCATTTCTATATAAAAAAAAATCATGTTTGACAAACTGTCCATGAGAAAATGTCTCCACAACAATGTTTTGGACGCTCCTCAGCAGTTGGATTTCGCATACGTTTGCAGAAAAGCTGCACACAATTATGCTGACTTGAGATTCCTGGTTATTTGACCTTTTTTTTAAAAAAAAGCTTTGTTTTCACCCTGTCTTTGGACGATTATTTGCAGTGCGTTTTACACCCGTCTTTCTGTAAATTAAGTCTGGAAGTGCAGAAGCCAATGATTTGGATTGTTTTTTTTTGGGTGGGGGGGGAGTGTGGAGGATTAACAAGTGAATGTCTAAGTCAAAATATCAGTTTCCAAAACCGACTTCGACTTTTCCAGGTAACTTTTTCCCAGCGTTTCTGCAACAGCCCACACCGCTCAAAGGTTAAAGGGAACTAATAATACACACGTTTGCAGTTTTTTTTTAAAACCCCCCCCACCCCTTTTCCAAACTTCAACCTCACACCTTCAGTCTTCATGTCAGGATTGTGGAATGCTCTTGTGGTGATCTGAAGTGCCAGAAACTCGCTCCTAATCCCTATTCGGAGCCTCCAGTGCAACGTTACAAAACACTCACTGATTCCATCTGGTTAACTTCCATCACCCAACCATCTTACTTAGTCGTGATTCTGGATTTCCATGTTGGAGAGCTTTTTTTTTTGCTGACTTACAAGGGGTTGGGGGCGGTGGGGACCCCAAAAGGTAAGAATGACTTGTTGGACGATTCCCCCTTATTTTGACATCTTGTGTTTTATTTGTTTGCCACTTATGAAGGTGTATTCCTGCTACATACAGATAAGAGGCACCTGTTCATCTTTTGTAGGCGCAGGCTATCCATCAGTCCCTTTTGGTTCATCAGCTTCATGTGTGTTATATATATATATATATAAACACAATCTCCAACGAGGGCTTCCAGCAATCTGGTTTAATTATTGCTGTTTGTTCCACTGATAAAAATGAAACAATTGCCTGAATGTGCGCCTGGTGGCTGTTGCGAGGCCATGAGTTGGCTACTACAAAGCTTGAAAAGTAGTTACGATGACTTCAGTGCAAGTCAGTTTGTTGTTGATCAAATTGGACCACATTCCTCTCTGGTGGGACCTCATCTAAATACCGTCTTTGACTTCATTTATGGTTTTAAATTGCATGTCTGCAGCTGGTCTTGCCGCGTGTGACACTCAAAAGGTTTGACGCACCGAAAAAACAAGTGCTGGGATGTCATTGAAATAAAGATTGAAAGGAACCTGATTTGTCTCCATATTTTCTTCTAATTTCTCGTATGGATATTCGAACCGACAGAACCGTCTGCTATCCCTTCAGCCACAAGTCTTGGAGAGATCTTTGAAACAATAATAACAACATCACATCGCAGAATTTTTGCACATTTTACCCCAAATTCAGAGTGACAGGTTGGAGCTCCCTCTTCTCCACCCACGCCATCACCATATCCTTTCTGAGCAGTAATTCAAGACTTAATACAAGAATAAGGCGCATTACAAAGCTTCCAATATTCCAATTAGGTGCCCTTTTTCACAAAGCCAATTCTGCATTTAATTTTTTTTTGCTTAATGCTTAATCCCTATATCAGGATTACCCAACGTCGCCTCCGGGAGAGCGAATTTTACGCCTTGTCTGAGACTATTACAAAAAGGTAGACATTTGCTCTTGTTTTCTCAAAAGTGTGTGTGCCTGAATCGACACCGTTTTGAATAAAACAAGAGTTGCTGTCCTTTTTCGCTGAGCACATTTTAATAACTCTGATGCCAGCGTGGTGTTGTAAATTGAACTGATTTTTATCTGAACTCCAAATACGGTGTCATTTATATTTTGAAGGGCTTAAAAACACTGAGCTTAAAATGTCCAGTATCCCACGTTAAAGAGCGAAGTACTTGTACTGGAGATTTCAAGGGCAAAATGCAATGGTTTCATTGTGAGCTTTTTACAGTCACCACGTCCCAGCTTTAACCTATTGCTCACGGAATACATGGTAGAAGGTTAATAAATAAAATATGCTAAAGCCTCCCTTTCTTGAACCATTGCAAAACCATACTGTGGGCAAATATCATCCTATAGCACTTGTGCGCGGATATGGATGCGTTGCTCCTGTGTGAAGTATCTCAGTAACAGGTTACACTTAGGGTATTGAGGTTCATGTACGTTACTGCTCTCGTTCCCTTTTACGATGGTGATGTATTTAATCCTTATTTTATGTAAAGACGGACAAGAGTCTATTAATGTTCGCGTCTTTCGCAGTTTTTGCGGCAGATGTGGGAAAGTCTGGGTTTTCTCTCTCCTGGGCAGGAGATTGCAAACTCTGTACTTGTGGCTCAGCAGCGTGTCTTCAAGTGGTTGAAGTTGGAGGTTTACTTTAGTGCCCAGAAGGAAGTAATTGTGGTGTATTAATTCTACTCGATTGAGTTTACTATTCTTGAAGTCTAATAAACGTTTAAGAATACATATTGCTGTGTACAGAATGGTTTTCCTTGGGCATGTTTTAAAACACAAGTGTGCTTATTCCTGAAAATGAATGAAAGGGCTTACCTTTCAGCTTTCTATTTTGACTGAAGGTTCTGAAACCACTTCATTACTCCCAAACTGTGTATCAAAAAGCTGCAGTGATTGTTGTAGAGCATAGTTTGCATGTAATACAGTACTAACTGTAGGCGCACTGTCCGCAATTATTTTATTCCTATGTCAATTTGTGTTGAACGGTTTGTACGCAGTTCTGCAATTTTCTGTTTTACATCGAATTAGCTTCCACGAAGTGTAAGGAATGCGATTCGGATTGAATGATGCTAAGAATGATGATCTCATACCACTTCTGTTTGGGTGTAACTGCAGCGAAGCGAATGGTTTAACCTTTCGGTTTATGATGGGTTCAGGCAAAGCCAACCCCTGACTAAAGTTGTCAGAAGCGGCTACAAGAACTCAGTGCAGAGGTCCCAGACAGCAGAAGCACTTTGATATTTTATTATTTTTAATAAATATTTATTATTATTGTAAAATAAGTTTTTTTTATACAGCAACACAGTGCGTCACCTGAAAACTGCCATAACTGGACATAGGCCCATGGAAACACCTAATACTGTAGTGACATGTTTAATGTTGGATCAGCAGTCACTTTCTTGGCTTACAACTACTGGACTTGTGATACATGGGCCAGGAAATAGATGGGGAGTGAAAAGTAAAACATGTCCTATCATTGTATTAAAAAAATCCTCATGTAACATATAATTTGGAAGTAATACAATTCAAATATTCAAGTAGTGGTAACTACTGAACCATTCTTTTTGTTTCACATTAGAAAGTTTTGTGTAAACATAGAAGTTCAAAAATGAAAAGATGGTGCAAATGGCAAACAAATAATGTGTTAATACAGTTTTTTTCTATACGTCTGTTGCTTTTCCTGATTGCCATAGTACAACCTGCTTTAGGATCTAGCAGTTTACATTAGATAGTTTACTGTGGCACAGTTTTTAATCAGTGGAGAACCCCATCATAGTGGAAATGATTTAGTAATCAATAGACCATGACTTAATTAATAGTATACTTATATTGCATATATTTATCTTGGGGATTCTTCAAGGATTGTTAGTCGAAAGGAATATTAAATGCTCCAAAGGCAGTTTGGGGAATCCACTCTGTGCAGAAATGCTCTTGCGGCTGCTGATTTTGGAGGAAGGAAGAGTTGGGAATGGAAAAGCATTGCTGCTAAAGTCATTAGCAATCAGAAGACAGGCCAATTGCCAGTCCTGTTTGGGAAGCTGAACACATTTGGCTTTACACAACAGTTTACTCTGACACTGGCACAGACTAATGATATTTGCAGATGAATTCTCTTTTCAACAATTAAACTGGTAACAGTGCCCCCTAAAGGCGATGCGCTGGAAAGTAATCTTTGTGAAAGCATCAGGAGAGCGTTTTATGAATGAACAAAAAAAAACCTCCATGCAATAGAATTCAAATCATTGAACACTGGGACCATGCCACACAATGCGTCGTGACAAACACGTCAATGTTTTTTAAAAAAAGGACAGGTTAAACTGGGTAGCTTTCTGAATGTCCACCACAGACGATGAATTCATTAGGTAAATTGCTCGATACAATTCAATTGAAAAATAAAGTTCTTTCCAGCCACAGTTTAGTTCAGTTCTCCTTTTAAAATTCATAAGAGCGCAAACAAGATTGGAGATATTTAGATGCATTCTTCTTTACTAATTACAAGAGTGGTCAGTTAAACATATCACGATGAAACCAAACACTTTGCATTGTTTAAAAATGAACTAGACAGGATTAGGCCACATTACATTTATACCAAATGATACTCTTTAAAAAAAAGGATGCGCAATAAAAAGAGAGAGACACACACACAAAATGGCCACAAAACACACAGTCACTACACTTGACTGTGTGTCCTGTGTAGCACTTTAAGACGTTCTTCATTTATGACAATGAGAAATGCTGGATTGTAGTCTGGAAAATGAAATGGACTTCTGTCTTGATAACAGGGTAGAATAAAAGGGGAATTTTAGATTTTAGATTATTATGACCCTGCAGTCAAACTGATATGAAAGCCAGAGATAAAAATAATGCTTTTGTTTCTCAGGAATGCTGATGTGTGGCCCTAGATGAGAAAACTCCGTAACAGATTCACTATAAAGTAAAATGTATTGTGTAAGACATTTCAGCAAAATGATACAAGTTGCAGGGACTTTCAATTTATACAGAACATGGAGACCTTCCAATAATTCTCATCGGATACACTTAAAAACCTGAAACAGGTTTCTTTTCTTAAAAAAAGTAGTTGAAAGATCTTGGTGTACCCACTGCTTATTTGCTGGAACATTCGCACTTTTATTCTGAACAAATCATTTCTAAGATGCAACACTTCTAAGTGATAAGAACTGGATTTACAGCGTACTAAAGGAAATGTTCCACCCCACAGTTTTGCCACATACTGTGGAAAGGATTGCAATTGTGGATGAGTTTGTTGCTGACGCAGTCTGAATTTGTTGCTAAGCAGAAAAGTGCATGCTTTGAAACAGAATGCTATATCTCATCGTAAGCACTGAAACAGTTGATTTTCAGTAATTTCATTCTTTTCAGACACAATCTGACAGGTTGAAGTTCCCATTCCCAGAGTACGTACAGAGCAGTGTTAACACATTTGACATCAAAACCTACTCACTTTAAAGATTATGGAGGCAAAACAAATGCATTTGAAATTGGATCTCTATATTTGTGGAAAAATGATGTGAAATTTCCATGTAAGAAATTTTGATTTATCACTTCCTGAACTATATTCATCCACAAATAAATGGTCATTACACTAATGACATTTGCACAATATTTGTAATGTGAAATAGTTTCTTTTATTCCTAAGCAGGGCGAAACCTTGGACAAGTTTCCTTACTCCACACGCCTAATAATAATCGCTCCAAAACAAAACAATAATACATTGGTCATTTTCAATCCCCAACTGTTTGTGGGACACTGTTGTGCACAATTGGCTGCCGCGTTTCGCTCACAAATATACAGTCAATTCACTTTACAGTATATTCTGTGAAGCGCTTTGAGCCATCTAGAAGATGTGAAAAGCGCTATATCAAATGCAAGCTTATTATTAAGATTGAAAATACTTCCTTTAGTCGTTGCAATTACCGGCTGCATTGAATTGCCAGAAATTATGTCCTGACCCATTGGTACATGTGGACTTACTGCCTGGCTGCACTGAATCCAGGAAATATAGTCTTGAGCAGTCGACGAATATGCAGAAGAACTTAATTCCACGCGATTCAATGTGTTTCCAATGCTGCCTGGTAAGTGTGCATGTGGTGACGGGTCAAGGTGCATTGAATCGTGGGAAATGTAAAAATAATAATAATCCTTGCATTTGATATAACGCCTCATCACGTCTTCGAGATGTCTCAAAGCGCTTCACAGAATATACTGTAAAGTGAATTGACTGCATATCTTGTCGGTGAAACGTGGCAGCCAATTGCGCACAGCAGTGCCCACAAACAGTCGAAGATTGAGTGAACAGATTATTATTATTTATGTAGTCTGACTCGCCATCACATGCACGTTTACCAGCTGCAGTGTGCAGGTTAGATTGATTAAATCAGATTTTATATGTTTTCTACAGTTTGCTTGCAACTTGGTCTTTGCGTAACTTATATTAAATATTATGGTCCTGACTTCTCCAATATGCATGAGTTTTACTGTATTGAAGTTATTTTCCACACTTTGGCATAATGAAGATGTAATCATATTCTAGTAGTGACAACAGAATCGTTTTTCTCACATAGGACATCGTTCCAGATAAATGTTAATAATGATCAAGGATTTTTATTAATATTTAATATCATTACAGAAAATGTTATGGTACAGTGTTAAATGTCTTTCATTGCTAGGAATTACCACATGAATGCTGGTACACTATTATCTGTACAATATCAATCTTTGTTTTACTGTACACTTTTTTTAAATTGGTAAAAAGGCTGTCAGCACTTAAGGAAGCAATTTCTTTGTTCAAATGAAAGATTTCCAGTTCCTGTTCCAACCAGAAGGCCAGTTGAGTTGCTGAGACAGGTGGCTGTTGGGATACTTCCCAGCCAACGGCACTGTAAGGGTGATGTACCAACCCAGTCCACTCCAGCCACTCTGCTTTTGGCACTGAGCACATGAACACGAGATACAAGATAAAGAACAAGCAAAGCTCTTTGTGAAGCAATTATGTTGCGTACTAATAAGGATAATAGCTGTGTTTATCTAAGCTGGTATAAAGAAAGCAGACAGCCTTGCTAGTAGCATAAGTATCTGTATCTGAAGATGATAAAACACAAGTTTAGCAGGCACCTACCGCTGTCTATCAAAAGCTACCGCTATCAGACCTAGCAATAAACACACAAAGCAACTGTAATGAAAGAGAAACTTTGCTCTGCATATGATACAGAATGGATTCATAGCATTTCTTCCCCCCCTTCCCATTTCAATTATTTTATTTTATCTAATTTCTTTTGAAATTACTTCAAGATGTCAACAACACCAATCAGTTTTATCCAAATCATTAAAAACTAGCTGTGCCGTTGCATATTACAGGATACAGTCAATGATATGTAGACATGCACCGACGCTGCTTCTGTGGTGACATCATAGTCTCCCAATTACCATTACGTCCACCACTTCTCCCTTGTGGAGCTCCACATACTGCTCTGTCTTTGGAGGTAGCATCAACAGTCCATTGGCACTACGCATGCTCATCAGACGACTGCTCATCTGGTTCCCTGCAGAACACAAACAATCATTTGTGCAAAATTCCCAGCAATGGAGAAAGTCTTGAAGCGCAGTTTATTTGAGGTTGTCAAGCTGGGACTGAGGACAGATAGAGATGTTTTGTTTTTTTGTCCAATCCAACTATAGCCTCAAACCTATTTTGAATTAATAATGTTGGGACTACCTCCTGCTTTATATATAGCACTCACAAATGTTTGCGAAAAAAAAGCAAGATGCAGTGACATTGAAGAAACATGTGACCATATATAAAACAAGTTGAAGATTCAATGAATGAACAGAGTCATTCTGTACCAGGTTGTGGATTCACTTGGTTATAATCTGGATCACTGCTCTGAAACTGCTGCTCACCTGTGCTTTGTGCCCAAGGCAATGGCTCCTGGTGGTGCCAAGTCAGGATGCAGCGATGGTATTCAGGGCGAGGATCCAGCTTCACATCACAGGATAACTACGAAAAGAACATAGAGTTTGAATTAGCAATAACCTAACCACCACCAACAGCTCATTCCCATCTTGTGGAAATGCGCGTTCTAAATCGGTGATTCTCTTTTAAAATGACAAATAGAATCTAGATTCTTTGCAATCGTACAACATAGCTATAAAGGTCTTTTATATTGTTCTACTACAGTGCGCTGGTTCATTATTCTATTTCCCTTGCGTAACACTGTTAAAACAGATATCCTGCCAGGGTAGCATTGTTTGTGACACTGTATGTTGCAAACTTTGTGTAAAAATAATACATTTTTAATAAGCATTTGAACTTTAAAAGTTTCTTTGGGGAAAAAAATCTCCTTCCTCCTACTTTTAATTTACAACAGTAACACAGTCGTTGTGTGGCTCACAGTCTTGGAGCAAAGCCAACACGGGGGAACTGCAACTGTGCTTGCCTAGAGGCAGACTTTTTTTCCTTAGAATCCTATTGTGGAGGAGTAGACAGGATAGACTGATTCTATTCTGGTCCTGTAATTGACCTTGAGAAGCTGATGGGGTTTATAAGCCATTTGAGGTTGACAGTGCTAAAACTTTATCAATTCTATTGTAAAACAATCACAGTTAAAGTTAAAAATGATCTCTAAGCAAAAAGACTAAATAACATAACATTTATGCCTAAACAAAGTGATTTTTTTTGTCAAAAAAGCTTTCTCAGGTAGGACAACTCCTTTAAATCAATACACAATTTAATTAATAGACTGATGTGGATTAAAAACACCGGCATGGACAGGTTGGGCCAAATAGCCTGTTTCTCTGCTATGTAAAATAAAAGTATCTCCTCTCCCCACGGTTCAGGGATAAATGGAATATATGGTCCAATACTGAGTAAACGCAGATTAGATAGGTCGTGGTTTGTACTGAGTTAGTTGATGCCAGCTGGATTGAGTTTGGCCACTTGTGTGTTACAGTGGAGGGTTATTAATGCTGCACCCCACCAGGTATCAGAGGAACACAAAAGTAAACTTAACTCAGTAGTAGGATTGCAAATTTGAGAACCATATTGATTTGATTGATTGGATCCTAAAAGATGACTAACTATCTATAAGGCGTCTTTATTTAAGCTGGTATCACGTTGTCTATGAACTGCAAACAAAAACATTTGACTCACACACCTTTGTGTCACAGTCAGCTTCTAATTAATCAGTACCAGAAGGTTGTCAGGACCGAGGACACTGTATGCTTGCATCAGTGACTGCCTTTAGGAGAGGTGATGAGCAACAAACAAAGTTTTGCTAAGTTGTAATGAATGCTCACTTGCTGGAAACGAAAGTCACATACCCTGGCTTTGATGATGGTGGGCCGAGGATCGAGGATTCCTTGCATTTTCCTCAGTGCAGGAATGACAAAGAGATTGCAGGTAACAACTGCTGACACTGGATTTCCTACAGTGAAACCACATTCCGATTACTTATGTAACATTACCAAACGACATACAATTAGTGTGGCATGCAACGAGAATCATGCTTGGAACCAAGCAGCCAACAGCTATGACTCCAAAAAAAGGTGATCACAGCCAATTTGTGGGAGCAAGCGTTTCTTCCATTTGGTTTCAAGTATTTTCTTATGGGTAGCTGCCCTTTTGTTGCACTGGTTGGAGCTGAAACTCTTGCTGCAGACTCAGTGCTGCACATGATTGGTTACCTATCGTAGAAATCCCCTTTCTATCTGTACCGTATAAGGAAAGGGTGAGAAGCAGCCTAATTTCCACTCTTGACTGCAGAACATGGCTCCAAAGAAATTATTTGCCCTTGCTTAAAAATTTCAGTCAGACCTGCTGATCTACTGAACTGGCACCAATTGAAATTAAGAGCATGGATGGATCTGGAGTGCATTCAAGAACCCGCTCTTTGAGATCCAAATTAAACTTCATCTGAGCCTAAAAGTGTCTTCACAGCTTCGGATTCCCCTCCTTATTGATGTGGAAGGAAACATTAAAAACAAAAGAATGCACGAGTTCATCATACCTGGCAAATGCAAGGCATTTGCAAGTCACACTGCATTGCAGATGCTGTTTGTTATATAATTGCCTGTATGAACTAGATATAATTAACCACACAAACAAATCCTTGGCTAACACACTGATGACAGGATGCCACTGTTTTCCTTTTATAAATGTGAAAAATCCATTGCCATGAAATTGTCATAAGTGGTGAGCAAAGGCTGTTCTTGGAAACAAAATTGGATGCATTCAGATAATTTACTTTTTGTTGTTCTTTAATGCTTACCCAAGCTGCAGCACTACCCATACTGTGGTTCACATGATCAAAAAAACAACAAAGACTGATGTTACATTCACTGCACAACAAAGGTTGTTGGAAATCAAATCAACATATTCTGGCTCGGAGGCTGGTGATTTGATGATGATGAAGAAAAACAGACAGGGTGGAGGTTTAAATTTTGGAGTATATGCATTTCCAAGCTACTAAAGAGATTGTTGATTAAATTTCAGTAATCCAATGATTCAAAATGAAAAATGTAACTTGGAAGTGCTGCTCGAAAATTACAGAACAAAAGAATGTTTCGTTATGCATTTAATACTTTGGCAAAGTACAATATGGAACAGGAACTGGAGACAAAGCTCTTGGGTGCAACATAACTGTTAGGAAAATAATTTGTTATAGACAATCTGCTACAGACAACTGTCGGATTGAATACACAGATTTAGAAACAAAATGACAATTTGGCTTAATTAACTTAGTTTGGACCAAAGGGAACATTTACAGTATTCTATCTAAATATTCTGCTTCCTAAACAATTACAATACTTGACAATTTCAATGGCATTCCGACTTTATTCAATCCATACCAGCAAACTTGGATCAGTAAAAAGGTGCATTCTGCTGCCCTCTTTGGTTTATCTTTGGAATATTTCAAAAAGCATCAACACAGACTATTCACACGGAAAGCCCTGCTCACACAACAATTGCTTTATTGCAATAAAAATATTCATCCATTGTCGGTGCAGTGAGGGAGTAAAGTGCACAGTTGTCCTGTACTTGATAAATACTGTGACGCTTGGAATTCATATTGGCAATGCTTTTGAAAAGGATTGCATTTCAAAAATATGGTATTGATCATTTTATTTATTCTAGTTTTCCTCTTTTACCCCCTTTTGTGGCTTGTATGAGTGGCCTGCTTTCCGGTCTGAGTCAATGATGTTCTGTAACCAGCCAGTAGGTGGCATATGATTACAATCTGGAACAATTTGGTCAAGACATCCACAAGTAAAACACCACTTCCATTGGCAGTGCCTATCTATCACTGAGGGTGTCAGATCAAAATGTATTTGCTCCATAGAAACATGCTTTGGAATATCAAATACGACTGTTTATATTACTTCAACAGAGTGATGCTCAAAACACAACATTTTTTTTCCTGTGGATCAAAAATGTGATCAAAGGATGTAAAAGATTACATCCTTGTTCATATTTTTTGTGTCCCTCCTTTGCATTCAGGCCACTCATTTCTTTTCAATAACCATGTCTTGGATCTTTGTGATCCCAAGTATTTGGCAAATCTCCACATCCCTTGTTGATATTAGTGGCTTCTTAAAGCGACAAAGGTGTGGAGAATTTGTCCTGGTCATGGCTGGAGGCAAGACAGAGCATTCACTTGGCTGAATGCAGCCTCTAATAACTCTAGTTCAGTAAGTGAAGGGTATCTGTGCACATGAACACCTACACCAAGGGCAGATTTCCTGACAATGATACTGCATCATTGACACTGCACCCTTTGGAACTCCATCCCACAGTCCCTTCACCTCCTTCAAGGCCAGTCTCAAGACCCTCCTATTCGACCATGCCTTCGCTCACCCTCCTACTCATACCCTCCCTACTCTCTACCCCTGCTGATCCCAACCCACAGCTTGGGTCCAAATCGCTGATTATCCAGTGCCTTGGGATGTCCTCCTGACGAGAAAGGCACTATACAAATATAATTTGTTGCTGTTGCATCAGAAAGTTCTCCAATAGCAGAAAAAGTGTTGGGAGTTTTAGAATTGTATTCTTTGCAGTCTTTTTTAAAAAAATTACAGCTGAATTGGGTTGTTTTCCTAGTTTAACCACTGAGATATAAACACTTGACAATTCCTTGGTACTGTTCCAGTTATGATCTTGTGACGTGGAGGTAACTCGATCATACATCTGTGATGTAGAGAATGGACTGTTGCATTGAGTAGCCCATCTTCATTCAGTCCACTGGTCTATATGGCTCTGTACTTCACTGAGTTCAGAAGCAACAGATGGGCTCTTTCCCTGTAGCCTGTCCAGCAAAGCTCCCAATAGTCTATGCTAGTCGGATGCATGTTTTTGTGTAACACTGATACTGATATCAAATCCTTTTACGTATGACTTTACTGAGATATTACAATTAAATACTGAGCTTTTGAGTGAATATTGCCATTTGTATGCTGGAGAAACAATTGCTGTGTGATGGAAGCTATACAATCTAGTCTGTGCTGAACATCTTGTTCAAAAATACTGCAAAACATGAATTAATTGACATGGCAATTCTCAGATGTCCATAATTATGTACTTCTGCCAAAACCAAAATAATTTATTGTGACAATTGTCTAAAATCTCTATCGAGATTTTAATACCCAAATCTTTATTGGGAATAGTGAAAACCAAAGCACAATTATTTTCATGTATATTTCTTGCGAAAGCTGAGTTTCAATTGACATCCCCTGAGCAACAAGGCAGAAACTCAATGATGGCCTTCGCTTCGTTAAAGCGGTGGTTAGTTTCTTGATATTCTGACTTTATGATGATAATATTAAAACAGATGGAAGAAACTACATTACTGGATTGTCCAGTTGCGCTCTGCTAATGGGTTCAGCAGTTGTATCACAATAGGGTGTTCCTCAATCTCCAGTTCACCAAAGTATTAGTTGAACAATTGAATTTCAACTTAGCTACTAATTTTCACCATGTGTACACAGCTATTGTCATAGCAAATGACAATCTCTAGGTATTAAAAGTTTGCTCTGTTATATCCTGTTTAATAAAACCTAAAGCTGGCAAAACTCATGTATTTATTTCCCCCTTAGTGAGAGACAAACTTAGAAAGCAAGCAAACTGTTCTTAGGCCTTTGTATTTACTTTCAGTAACTGTCCACCACAAACTGGACCAAATTATTTTCCTTTTGGGGGAAGTGATCACCTCCACTTTGCGCCTTCCAGCTAAGGACCTGGCTGAGATCAGTAGCTCAATATCCGAGAACAAGTAGGAGAAAAAACAAATACCAATATCATCCTTTCTTTGTTTCTTTTTAAATTGTGCTGGGGTTTTCTCATCAGCCAGAGACTCACTTTACAATAGCCTTTAGCAGGCTTTCAAATAATTGTAGGCATATAAATTAAACTCCTGAAGGGATATCATGTCAAAACAATATCGGCTTCATTGTTTTCATAATGTATTAATTATGTAACAGGATTATTCTGAGAAACAATTATGTGAGGCTTGTAATGCAACAGCTCAGCACTTCCTAAGAAGATAGCAATTTTGGCAGAAGACTGGCAGGCACTGCTTTCCCTTTTAACATTATATCTGCTGGTAGCCCCAGTGGTACAATGTACTTGTACAGGCTATGCTGGATAGAAGTATGCAGCTGAGATTCTCTGCATGTGTTGAATTCCCAGCATCAGCTGTGGCCACCTGGGGAAACTGAGGCAAACTCTCCAAGGAAGATTTAGGAATTTGGAGGGTAAACCAATTAGTACAACCCTGCTACAATCTGGTTTAAGGTGCAATAGCCAAGAGCCTGGAATCAAGTTGTGTGGCATAAAGGTGTCCCGACAAAAGAGGTAAGGGACCAAGTGGAAAAACTGAAAAAAAATTAGGATGGGGGAAGAACAAAAGTATTAAATATTAGAACAAAAACGCAATCATTTTAACTGCTTATTTGTTTAATTGCAGCAAGAACTGGCTTATAATATATACTGAATAGTTTATTTAGTGGTAATCCCCTGATGGAAAAAATCCCTCCAAATACTATAATACCCATCATGTGATGCCATATACCTTCAGATCCTATGTCACCATCAGCCTCTACCGCGCCCGCTGCATAACGGTAAAAAAAGTTGGAAACGAATGTTATTTTCAAATAAACTATTCAATATATATTACATAAATCAACTAATAGCTAGCAACAAGTTGAAGGTTTTAATTCAGAGCCCGGGAGGGAGGGGGTGAAGGGGTCCTGCGGATGCTCCTAAACCACAAGTTACCTTATGTGGTTTATCACGCCATCAGCAGCGGTCAACTGAATTACAACCTCGCGATTCATTGCTAGCTATATATTATCCTGTACACAAAGCAAGCATGTTAAAAAAAAATCATGATTTCCCTTCATTCATTCTAGCCCCAAAACAATTTTACTATTTCATAGCAACGAGATCTTTACATTAAAATTCAAAGCAAGCTGTCCAGGTTCACCGCTCTTTGCAATTTATGTGGCAGTTTTCAAAAATGACTCCTCAATCTATGCAAACTACACCAGGCCGCAGTTCCGATACACACGTCAATGTTTGTGGGATGCAGCAGTTTCAGCGGTTATTTTTGAATAAAATAGATTGGTTTCATTTCCAAGTGGGGACCGCCAGACCGGCAACTGAGCGCATGTGTGAAGAACAAGTTACTCTTCAGGTGCCGCCGGGGTTAAAATTAGATGAGACAAAAACACATGAAGCAAAATGATGCAACTGTAAAGTGAGGCAGGTCATCGTGATGACGTGATGCACATTACAAAGCAATACAATTCTGAGAGTGCACTTGAGTACATGCGTTATGAATGCAAGTCATTGCGTTGTGAATTGATTAAGTGGTGCAAATCTGCTTTCTGTGTAACTTTGATGGGGGTAAGAAGACCTGTGTAGACTTGTTCTTGGGTAGCAGACCTTCAGTAGATTATGGCGTAGTCTCTCATGCACCAGATTTATTTTTTAACAGAAAAAGACTTGGGTAGAGAAGGAGGGAGGAGTGGGTGAGTGGAAACATGGTGATGTTCCTTAAGAAAACCCGGAAAAGATCACAAGTGACGTTCTACACTGTCTTGTGCTTTTTTCCCCAAAACAGATATTAAAGATAAAACATGACCATTAATTAATTTTTTTACAAACATTCAGTGACAAAACGATCATATCTTGCAACAGAATCATATAATCCCATGCAAATAGAAATGAAACCAGATCCTTCAACACACCCTTTAAACAGGGTCTGTAATAATAGGCCAACAATTAACTTCAGCCATTCCTGGTCAGATACAACGATGGAAGGATCCATATTTCAACTGGAAAGTCATGCTTGCAATTCAAATACTACAAATTGGTCTGATAACTATAATAGTAACTCTATATTATAAAGCACATGTCGCACATAAAACAAACTAAAACCCAACACTGACCCGTGCATAGAAACATTTGCACTCCTATAAGTAAGTGCAGATATTACTAAACCTCCAAAGACAGAGTTCAGCTCATCTCTTACCTTAAGCCATCACAACTAACAGCAGACAGTAAGTGTTGATGTTAAGCTTGTCACAGTTCTAACAGTTATATGGTGCTCTGTGAAGAGAGTGACAGTTCTGGTTACCTGGCAGTGCAAAGATGATTTTTCTGATGCCATCGATGTCCAAAGTTGCAAAAGTTGTTGGGAGGCTGTGGAGGGAAGGATGTGCATTTAAAATCCTGTCCAGTGCTTTAAGAAAGGAAATGATGGGATTCTCTCTCAGGAACTTTGATGGCAATACAAAATTATGCTTTTGTAAGCATCACATTTTAAATCGTTTGAACGTTTAATACTTTATTTCTGTTGCAATTTCATAGTAATAATCTTGTTTCTTTGGGGGGGAAGGGGTTGCTGGGAAATGGACTGGCATGTTTTGTTTGATAAAACTTGGTAGCCTTCGTATAATAATGTGGACAAGGATAAATTTCGAAATTGTCCTTTTTTTGCAATATTTCTATTATTTTCAAATTCGTACAAATTTTACTGAAAGCCAATGTGCAAATCTCTGCATAAACAGGGAAGTAACAACTAATTATAATAAACCATCCTTGGCAATACACAAACATATTCTTCTTCTGTGCTAGGTGGAGTCAGTGCTAACGAGACTTATTCGTTATGTTTCTGACAAGAACAGATGTAAAATTCAGATGCTGGAAGTGGAACTGTGAACAGGAACACAGCAACAGCTCAGATACAACGGCTGAGAAAGAAAGACACACTGGGAGCTTTGGGTGAAACAGACCATTTTGACAATAAATCGATTTGATTGTGTATATTATTCAACTGTGGTGTAAGAAAATACATCTTCTTTCGCAAAGCATTTTTAAGAACATTTTATGCTTGTCACTTTTTTAGTGTTTCTACACGATGTACCGTTTGCTAACCTTGGCCATCTATACTATACTGTACTATCAAATCAGCTGTTTACTGGTGGTGCGAGTGCTGTCTGGAGTAACTTTCCCTCTAATTTTCCTGACCTTCCCATGGGGAATGCCTGGCCTTTGATAAGTGCCTGCCCTGAGTGTAACCGCTTATACTGGGAACTGATCATATGGGGGATGAAAGGCATGAATTGTGCTCTAATCACTGTGACGTTTGTGTGTGATGCTTAGCAAATCAAGATGTCACAGGTGGTCCTATGTTACAATTAAAACATCAATAACCAATTTTCCATCTCGAGCCTTCTCTGCAACAGAAGTATTGATGAACTGACTTTTTCTCAAGTGGCATAAAGTAGAGCTTGCTTTCTGGGCAGTGACTTTCACAGTCAAAATGGTGTTCTGAAGAACTTGGCAAAAAGCATGTGAACTGCCCAGATTTGTTCCTATGGCAAGGCTTTTGACAATTTTATGTTTTAACTTGTTGAATGAATCAGCTTCTTAGATCTGGAAATTACAGTGCCTTTACACAGGTAGGGTTAGTTTGTCAAGAATATCTTCCATTTGAGCTTTTCATGCTCAAAGACAAAATACTGAGAATACCGATCAAGAAGATCTTCTTAAGGCTGTCCTTGCTGCAATCGAGATTAGCTGCTCTTTCAGCTTCCTTTCATCTACCTTCATGTTATCACATGGTCTGATAGAGACAAGGAACCAATATCTTCACTGAAGAGGAACTGTATTAGGGAGCTAATCCTCCCTTCTAACTTCTCATTTACGGTTGTGGAAGCCCTTTAGATGGATTGTAATAATAGCAGCACATTCTGACCAACACAACAAGAAAGAGGGTAGTAACAACAAAGATGCAGGGTGTATCCCTGGTGGGAGAAGAGAAATCTTGATCCTAGGTGAGCTGTTTCTTACGGTGGAAGTGGCAAGTCAATCTGCTTGTTTGCTATGGAAGGTGGTATTCATTGCAGAAGACTCAAATAAAGTCCACGCTACTGTTTCTTGATTTTCAGAGGGCCAATGCCACACCAGGTGTAATCCTGGTTTGAATGAAAATCAAATAAACAAAACTGTTTTGATTAAAATTACAAAAATGGAGTCCTGTAGCTCAGTGGTTAGAACAATTAACTCTCAAGCGAGAGACCTGGGTTCGATTCCTGGCAAGGTGAAACCTTGGGCAAGTTTCCTTACTCCACACGCCTGATAATAATCCCTCAAAAAAAAAATAATAAATTGGTCACTTCAATCCACGACTGTTTGTGGGACACTGTTGTGCGCAATTGGCTGCTGCATTTCGCCCACAAATATACAGTCAATTCACTTTACAGTATATTCTGTGAAGCACTTTGAGACACCTAAAAGACGTGAAAAGCGCTATGTCATATGCAAGTATTATTATTATTATTAAAGCTTCCCTTTAGCCTGAATGTCATCTTCTGCTACAAACCAAGCAATTGTTAATTGGATTTAACGTTGTTACTACTTACCCTGGTTTCATAAAAACTCTACCAAAGTGAATCTGGGCGTGTAGGTCAATGTCCAGCACCTGCTTCAGGTAATCCTAAAAGACAGAACAGAAAGAGCAAAAAGCTTGCACATTGCTGATCAAGATCATTTCTTGGAAATTGCCATTATGATTTTCCAATATTTAACGATTTCTGAACAATTCAGCAGTTCTAAAAATAAATAATTGCTTACTAGGGCTCTTCTGCTTCGAATACTTTTATAATGTAACTATGCAATATATTGGAAGAATGCTTATTATAGTCCTTATCTGTCATCTCTGGAAGAATACAATATAATTTACATTTATATCGGGCCATTCAGGTCAGGAGGATGCTTAAAGCTCTTAAAGCCCTGCTGGCTGGGCACCCGAGCTGGTGGGGTGGGGTAGAAGGTGGGAGCAGAAGAAGGTTAATAATAATAATAATAATAATAATAATAATAATAATAATAATAATAATAATAATAATAATAAGGGTTGGGAGGGAAGAGATGACCGAAAGACACTGTACATAAGTAAAACATTCTGAAAGTAGGTGCCTTCAGTTCTGCTGAGTTTTGTACAAGCTAACTACAGCGACACACCAATCAATCTATGCACACTCAATCCACAGAATATTTCAATTCAGACAACGTTTTGTCACTTTATATTCACCAGAGTATAGTTTCATGTTTCAAATTTTACCTTTTCACCCATGGATACACCCCCTGAAGTAATGATGACATCAGCACGGCTTATGCCTTCATTGAGAGCATTGAGCAGGTCATCGGGGCTGGAAATAGAAAATAATCAGAAAGTCATTGCAGCAAATGCAGTCTTGTTGTTTCTGTAAATTAGTCAAAAAATTACTTGCACTTTATTACGAAGTGGGACATTCTCAGAAACAATGTTTTTGAGCTGGTCAAAGTTTAAAGCGAACCTATACATTGAGAAGATTAACACAGTTCATTGTAAATGAGGGTTTTCAAAGGGACTGACATCTATGACACGTAATTACAATAAAGGAATCAGTTTTAAATTCTAGTCTGCCTACAACTCGCATACCTTTCTTACTGTCACATCCATTTATAAATTAATAAATCAACATCAAGCATTTCATTTCACACTCTTGATCTCATTATTACCAGCCGTGAAATAAATGCATACGCAAGATTTATTCTCTCAATCCTGAGCTGTAAGTCGTATGTCACATCACCTTTTTATGTTAAATGCTTAAACGCTTTATCCGTTTGCTGTATTTGAAACTTTTAAAATTCCAGTGAATATCAATTACGTTCACAAATCGCACAGGTTAGTTTCTTATTTCAGATTTTTTTGATAACTTACATTTTATGAAAAGTAAAATATAATCAGTGTGAGAACGGTGACTGAAGACAAAATGTACTACATTAAACATTTCTCTTTGGATTAAACTGAATTCTACAGCTAAGAAAAGTGGTTAAATAAATAATACTTTTGAAAACTGTCACTGAAATGTCCTCCAGACTTGTGCTAGGATAGTAATAACAATCCTTGCATTTGATATAGCGCTGTATCACTTTGTCGAGAAGTCTCGAAGCACTTCACAGGATATACTGTAAAATGGAATGATTTGTATTTTGTGGGTGACACGTGGCAGCCAATTGCTGATGGTGTGCTGCTAGACCTAGTGGAAGCAAGATTATTTGGTGCACTAATCGATTGTTGGCTTCTCTTACAATCTCCTATCACTGTTTTATAGTGAATGAATTAAGCAGTGGGTGCTATTGAGTCTCAGTTTAATTCTAAGTGCGTATTTTCCTATGCTGACTCCAGAAGGCTTTTCAGTATTTGTATGTGTGGATAAGTGCAAAGAATATCATTTATTCTTGCCCGACAAGAGGTTATTTGCCCACCGTCAGTGGTGGGCAAATAAGTTTCTGCAACATTACATAACTGAACTGTTCATCACCGATATTTCCAATAACCGAAGAAAGGATGAGAAGTAGAAATGATGGAAACCATCTGCATTTGCTACAAATTTAAACACACTAATAAAAAAAATCAAAGAAGTTGTTCCCATCAGCCCAGAATTTTTTTTAAAAAAGATCTAAAAAAAATCAGCAAAGGAAGAAACAAACAGGTTTGCTGCCAAATGCTACACAAAAAAATGTGCATAATGTGCCCAAAGATTTGCAGCGCACCACAGCACTAAACATACCAAGCTAATTGCACAGAATGATTGCGAAATAAAATTTAAAAATCATGATGATGCACTCACACACTGGCGAAAATTTGTCAAGTGGGAAACAGCTTCCTTCCACTCTCACTTAGCTTCCTGTTCTCCTTACCTCTCCTAACTCCCAACACTCATGGGAAGGTTTTTTTTGTTTCAAATGCTACCGTCAAATACTCTGAGCTCATCAGCTACAGAGAATTTTTGTGTGTTTGCATGAAATCTGGTACTGTAGTTGAATCGAAGTTGCTAGCATCTCTTTGTGATTTATATTTATGTTTTGCAACACTGGAAAATCGTTTGAAACCTGATTTCCATAAATTCTCTCTCTCTCTCTCAGAGGCAGAAATTTTATTCCACACAGTCCTGAGAGAAAAAAAGAATGGATAGATTTTGGGGATATAAAAAGTGCATAAATTAGTCATTCTGCTTAGAAATAGCAACATAAGACTGTAATGGAACATGACACAGCAGGTTGTGTTTACTGAATGTTAGCAAAACTACAGCTCACGACATTCAGTGTTTTTCGTGACTATGAATACCATTTTAATTTCAACAGTTTTTTTTTAAAAAACATATCATATGGCAGTTCATCTGAAATGGCTAAAAAAAATAACAAAGGGATCAGTCTGCTCAATAGAATGAAGTGGTTTGTAAACCATTTAAATGTTTTTTGTTTTTTTAAACCGATGACATTGTCAAGATAGGATTTCACTCAAGTAATAATAAGTACCCTGGAAGTGAAGCATTCAGCCAGGCATCAGGGGGAAAGAATACAACATGATTTTCCTGAAAGATAATGATTCCATGACACACTACAGTGAAAATCACCATTTCACTCTGACTGGAGACCTGGGTTTAAAATTTAAGGTTACCATATACATCTTTCTTCTGACCCGCTAAGTTAATGTAGATTAGGATGCCTAGGATTGTGCCACCAAGGAGTTAACCATCAATATAAAAATACAATTTGTTTGCAGAGTTTTGTTTTTGATCAGCAAGGTGTCTGACACACGCGGGAATTTACAGATCAACTGGAGCGTTTTGCATTTGAATAAAAATTCCAGCTTTTAAGTGGATTGACTATACTTACTTATCTCCCACAATTCCCAGGTTGATGGTTGGGTATCCATGTTCTTGAATTGTTGCTAGCAGAGTCGAACGATTGCTATCCCGAATCTTTCCCGGTGTCAGTTCATCCTCAGGATTCAGGAGCTATAAGAGTGAATAGTGCATTCTTAAAATATTAATACATCAGGGCTTACTTTGCTGTGGTACTGGCTGGATAGACCAACTCGCACTCAATGTGAAATAAAAACAGAGAGAGCTGGGAACGCTCAGCAGGTCAGGCAGCATCTAGGGAGAAAGGAAAGTGAGTCAACGTTTTGGGTCCACGACCATTCATCAGCTCTCTCTGTTTTGTTTCAGATTTCCAGCATCTGCAGTATGAGTGTTTTGTTCACACTCAATATGAATCATTATCCCACAAATTATGGAGACATGGAGATATTCTCCACCAATCACAAAAGTAAATGCACATCACGATGAGAGAAAATGGTGGCCTGAATTAGGCTACAGTTCTGTCCAACACCAGGTACCACATTTTCATTTGTTTACTGATCAGTGGAGAAAACGGTTATGTAATGAACAATATTTTAGTGAATCGTCAGAGAAGAACACAATGACCCCAAAAAGATGCTTGATCCAACTTGGTGATACAGAATGGGGTGGGTTGGATCGTGTATGACATGCAGAAAATATTTCCTTTCTTATTTCTAATTCATCCTGCATACCAACAGGATTCTAACAGAGAAACAATCTCAAGAGGAGGGCAGGAACATTAAAAATATCTATGAAGAAGCAATTCAACTTCAGCAGAGATTTGACCAGTAATTGTTTGATCAAAGTATGGTGACTGCTTTATATTACAGGTTGAATGGTGTCGTCAAGGCATTTTGCTTCAACTTCTTGAAGACATACAAAAGGCTTCAGTTGAGATAAGCTCCAATATGGGTTGCAGCTGTAGAATATTTTTGGGTAGATGGTCAGCAAGTGATGTCTCATTGGTACTGAAAATGCTGTCGGAACACCTTTTAATATAAGAAGTGAAACTTGTTATCAAAGGGAACACCTAAAGGTTAATCTGCAAGCCACCCACTACAACAACAACAACACTAAAGCATTGGTTACTGGATTATCAAGGATTCTAGCATGCATTTTCTTGAGCTGTGCCACTGGTTTACATCTTATTTGTTGTCCATCGATGGAAACACATTCGAAAAGCATTCAAATGGCAAAAGTGAAGTAAAAATGTGTACAAAACACTGTTCACCAGCTTTTAACTGGATTACTTTTTACATTAATCACACAAAGTTTACTGCCTTACCATTTCTGTGAGGTGAGTCCTGCTCATATAAAGCTATGGCATTCCATTCCATGTAAATGAAAGCAATGATAAAATACAATTGAGCACAGAATGGGAGAGGGAACATTTAAGTGCAACATTAAGTCAATTCAAGTTGTTTTGTTTTATTTGCAAAGTCGCTTGGGTTTCCAAGAGATATCATACCATATAAATATACATGTAGTTCTCCAAGATTTTCGTCATTGGCCAGGAACTGAAAGCCACTTGACAAATATATGATAAGGAATAATGCACTGAATGTTCCTGGTTCCAACTGTTTCTGCCCATTTGTACCAATTGAATTGGGAATGTTTTCAAGAGTAATTGAAATATATAAAAGATGCTTGATCCAACTTGGTGAAAGTGCAATGAAAGAACAAGCAACAATGACAGATGTTCAATGGTTCCAAATGTACGTGTGGTGTAATAATAATAATACTGTACCGATGATTTCCAACAAGCCATTTTAGTGTTTGATGAAAGGAACCCAGTTCTTTTCCTCCCGCCCCTAGTTTTCTTTCATCTTTTCGGTGCATGCATCATTAGTCAACTGAGAAGGTGGTCAATACCACTGTACACTAGACTTAAATGAGTACATTTGTAGGTAGTAATTATTCCTAAATTGTCCACTCTTTCAGTGGAGGAGAGGGTCACCTCCACTTTGTTCTCACCAAGCAAGAAATGACACGCATTAATCTATCACATTGTTCTGTGCAGTATTGCGGCTCCTATGCCCTGCATCACCTTACTTCTGAAGGTTATAAACCGAAGGTTATGAACACTACGAAGTGGGATTGAGTTGAGATGATGAACCTTTAATTATAAGCAGAACCACAATGTAAACCGCAGTCAGTGACTGCACCCAAAGGGAAAGTGTGAACAACTTTATGAAGTTACAGCAACTTCAAAGAGAGCTTGGGCAGCAGCAGCAGCATTGTATTCATGATAGTTCTGAAGGACTGCATGGATAAGACTTGGCAACGGCAGCGTGTGCGCACACAAAGCAGTCATGTCCTTGGGAAGGGTAGCTGTGACTCAACGACTGTGACCTCATGAAAGGCTTGTGGTGGCCAAAGTCAAATCAGACAACAACCTCGGGCATCCATTAAACTTGGAAGCTGACGGCAACCGTGTGAAGTTTATCACTGTAGCTGCTGATTCTGGAGGTGAGGCTATGGACATTGACGGCATACTTTCAGGTGATAGCAGCAAGCTAGAGGGTGAATGGTGGTCGCTGCCTAGGAGATGGCGGCAGCATTCTGGGGGAGGGAATGGGTGGCTTGTGTGCAATTAGGTCCAGTTACGACGTTGTGAAATGATTGTGTAAAGTGACCACTTTTTTTTTACCTGATTCATCTGTTCACATCGAAGTTAAAACAAAAAGAATCAGAAAAACAAAATAAAGGAGCAAAATAAATCTTTCGTTAAAAAAAATTCAGGAATACATTTTAAAAAAAAGAAGTCTTTTTCCATTACATAATCATTTGAGTTGTGTTTGTGTGCGCGTGTGTTTTAGGCTTTCTTTTATTTGATGAATAATCAGCAGTATTACAAACCACAAAGCTCTGCCTATGAATTGGTGCAATCACCTGTCAATTAAAAGTGTGCACTATTCTTCAGCTTGCCAATGATCTACTGAAGTACGGATAACAGTCCAAGGCTGTAATAAGTTGGCTTGATTTTGAAATAAAGAAGCATAATACACATAATACACAAAGACTCAATATTTCACAATTCTATGCCTCAGAGATTGTAAAACATACCTCATTGCCTGTGGACATCACTGCTACCACGGGAAACTTGTGAACTTCAACCTCAGTCACCCCAACAGTTGCAAGCAGACCAATCTCAGAAGGTCCCATGTGGGTGCCTTTGGCCAGAACGCATTCCCCTCTTTTGATGTCATGGCCAATTGGTCTAAGAACAGATTTTAAAAAAAGTCAAATTCCACCCACTGTTATTATAAACAAAAGCAAAGAAATCAGTTGTTGTTAATCTGAAATGTTGTGAGTTATCTGCAGTCCAAATTACACAACTATTAATTTTTTTTGTCAAGATGTATTTTGTTTTTGTTTAGATGCTGCTTTGAATGTCTTAAAATTAAATTAACAATTACTCATATTAAAGGCATTAATTAATATTGATGGAATGGCAAATAACTTGCATTGGTAATTAAGATGAAAAAGAAACCAAATACATTCACAGTGAAGGGCTGCTCATTATCAAAAGCAGGTCTTAATTTGGAGGACTCCTTAAAAAAGAAAGAACTGAATTAATATCTGTTCAAGAGCAAGGCCAACATGGTTTTAGGTAATCAAATACTGCCATCATTGCTGGGACCTGAAGGCACAACTGCGTATGCAAAGAAACTGGTCAAAATTGAATGAAGCTGATTAATAACCTGGAGTTTTGCTCGACTACCTTTAGGGTCAGCAAGAAATTACACACAGCTTCTGTGCTTAAATCTTCTTGGATGTTTCACCTCTAGTTGGTTGCTTTCCTCAAGAGAGTGTGAATGTTGGGCAGAGTTGATGATGAGGCAAATTGAACTTGGTCTTTGGAGAGAATGAATTTCATAGCCAAATATCCTTTTCTCATTCACTATTTTACGTACATACATCTCTTGCTAACGAAAATCATAGTAAGTTGTTCACTGAAATCTTTGCCTTTATCATTCAATTCAAAAATCTTTACAACAAAAGTTTAGATAGAATAGATACTAATTATTTAGAAGTTATTCAATATGAAAACTACAATGGCCACTTATTAATGGAGAGAGGCAATGGTGGCAGAGGTCAGTTCAAAATGTTTGTGGTGAAGAGGGAAGGTCTAACTGAGGGTTTTGAGATTGGGGAAGAAAAAAATACATTGATATGGTGCAGCATCTCAGACAATAATTCAGGAAAAGATCTGAAAACCAGTAAATAATCAAAAAAGATTGATACCTTTCGATAAGTTGCAAATCTACAATGGATTACACACAATGTAAGAGTTATTAAGTTGTACAGTGGGATCTTGTGAAATTGAGGCTAAAGCTACAGTAAGCAGAGATGTTTGAGTTGATTTTGTATCTGGGATGGGAGTGGGGTCCTTGATACTAATTCTAGAAAAATATTAATTTGCCAAGAGAGCAATTGGTCCCTCTCTTTGGTATCAATAGCCCCTTACATTCCAAAAGATCATTCAAAGAATTTCCATAAAGATGACAACAACAACTTGCACTTATATAGCACTCTCCACGCAGGGTAGTATCTCAGAGTGCTTAACAGTGGCGAAACCTGACTCCGAGGGGTTGGGGTAGGGGTGGGGGTGGGGGTAGGTGGCTGTAAGCATGGTCGAAAAGGAAGATTTTCAGGCGGGACCTGAAAAAGGGAGATTCCCATTCAGGATATTGTACCTCTGCTTTCTAAAGAATATTTTTTGAAGCAAATACATTGACGGTCACTCTTTGTGCAGCTCATTCCACTTCATTGGTTATTTGTGAAAGTGAATTCTCTTGGGCACTCATTCAAGTACATTTTAAATTCAAATATCACCTACTTTTTTTGCCATCACTTCTAATGTCCAATAGATCAAGAAACATGAAAGATCGTCCTGAAATGTAGTTTATTCACACAAAAACAATAATAGAAATAATCATCGCCTTCTTCTGATACTCACTGCTCTTCCCTAATGTGCTCACATTGCCATATATCTGTACATTTATTGCACACTATTAACGCAGCATTAAAGCATGAAGTGTTGAGCTTGAAGTAAAATTATTTATGATGACCATTTTGTACAATGGCAATTTTAAAAATCACTTCCAGGATAGCCAAATTATTTTTTCTAACCAAAAACACGTTACTTAAAAGCATGGTAAGAGAGATTCATTATCCCACAAGATTTAAGTAACTACCAGAATGAATTATAGATTATCTCATTCACACTGTTTCAACACAGCAGAATGATGAGCACTTCCATACAGGTACACGATTTAAGAGTTTGAACAGAATGCACTGGATCTTAAATGCATCAGTCACGAAGGGTACTTTAACAACCGACAGCTCCTGTCAATCAGACACTGTGGTGCTGCTCGTATTGATGGTTCAAGGTTGCACTTCTGACTCGTAATAGTTTCAAAATGACAAATTGAATTTTTAGATACAAATCCAATTTCAAAACTTGTGGGCATTAACCTCGTTCTATATTTCACTGGAATTTGTTCCAAGAAAAAAATATGTTGGAGGACATCATATAAATGTTATTACTCCATTATGAGCTGTCTTTTGTGACTCATCAGATGATATTGCAATTAACCTCAAAACCTTACTAAGTGTGCCATATCCAGCAAGTCAATGATCCACTCAAAAACACGACACTAATGGACTCTCCTGACCTGTTAAATACTGAATGCCAATTTGAACAGAATAAAAAAAACACTCTGCTCAGCACAGCACGCTGGATAAAATCAAAACACAGATGATATCAAGACTGAATTGAGGAAGATGAAACTTCGAATAAACCCAAAATAAAATTCTCAAAATTCTGAAGAATTTATATTTTCCTTGATTCAAATTTAAGTTACTTGCGAGATTGAGAGAATTTACATGAGTTGGTCCTCAATGCAATGAATCTAGTTTGGAATATTAACACATTTGACTGGAAACATTAGCAAAATTCATACATAATTTTGATTCATATTTAATGTGCACACCAGCAGCACAAGCCCACAAGCTAGGTCAAGTCACACATCCCATTCATGGACTTTGGCATTCTAATTAAACCTTTTAAAAATTATAAGGTTTCTTGATCATCCGAGCATTTTTAAACATCCTATTAATAGAGTAAAACTAACATTTGGAACTAAATGGGCAATAAAACACAAAGGCAGATTTATTTTTTTTACTGCACTAACAGTTTCTCCACAATAATTTACAAATATTTAATTCTGGAAAACTAGACATGGGGTCTTATTTTAACAATATGTGATTTAACTACAGTGCATTTTAGAAAATTTACCAGAAATTGATTTTATAAGGATGTGTTTTTGTTTAGCTGGGCATTGATATAGAATAATTTTTACGAACATTTAGTTTTAGAAACACTGCAGTGCACTCAGTTACCAACACACAATGACACACCATTTTGCAATCAACGTTCAAAAACACAACTGACCTGATGTCCTGACCTGGCCGAGCCTGTGTCAGAATTCGTACTTCCAGCTCTTCTGTACCCTGTAACATTAAACTGCAACGTCAGCCGCAGAAAGTATTGCATTTTGCACTTGTAAAGTCACAAGACTAGTAGTGGGTAATATTTTGTATCCTAAAAGCATTACTGATGAGTTCTGATAAGCATTCTAGACTGCAGCATGCGACAAAGATATTAAAGATAATTTTCAGTTCTGCATTATGACTTTTGATTTATCGGCAATGAAATTTCAAGGAATTGGGCAGTAAAAATTATCAGCAAAGCCCACAGAATAAATATGAGAATAAATGAAAAGTATATTTTTATAGAGAATGGAAGTCAATTATGAGGTATATTCTACAATGGATTTACGCCATTCTCATTTGTGAAATTTGTCTTCCCATGTAAAAGAAAAAGTAGCATGCGGCATTCTTTTTAGCAACTTATATAATTGCATTAAAATGAAACGGATACACAAAAAAAAATTTGGCATGAAGATTTTTCTGCAATATGAAATTCACTAAATCCAACCTTCTCAATTCCCCCACCCCAACCAACAACCATAGAAAATAACAAAACCATGTGAGTATGGAGACTCTGTTTATGACCTGGTCCTTGTTTTGTGACTCGCTTCTGAAATGTAAGCACTACATGGAGTGCCCAAAACAAAAATGGAACAGCTAGCTATCACTTACCATGATTAGAAGTACATCATGCTGCATACACAAAGGACATCAATATGAAATGGGTTCAACATGACAAGATTTGATATCTGTCCTAGTACCTCAACTATTATAAATCAATGAACTTTTTTCATTTTAAAATAAAACCTCAGTTGTTTCCAGTATTTAAACTTCTTGAAGAGCAGCGGGATCCCTGTACCCAACTTACATCATCAGACTCCCTGATGAGCTCTGTGTCTTCAATCTGCACAACAGCGTCTGCACCACAAGGTATTGGAGCCCCTGTCGTGACCCGCATCACTTGACCAGGCATCACAGTCTGAGTCGGCTGCAAAAACATGCAGGAATAAAAAAAGATCATCTTTGAGACAATTAGTCAAACTTCCAAATTATAAAGTGTGACTGATACACAGGCAACATAGCCCAGAGAGGATAACTTCTTTGGCTCAAATGTTTAAAAACTACATACCAAAAAGAAATACTTGCATAGTGTATGAAATGATTGGGCTTCCTCCCCTCCCCCCCATCCCACTAATCCAAACACAGCAAGTAAGGTGCAAAGTGCCAAATTGTACTCTCTGAAAAGAAAGTAGATCTCAGCCCATGTGACGGATACACATGTACAGAGCTCCATGGAGCCAACATGTAGGACTTCAAATGTTAAGTTTAAGAAGTTTGCTTTGTACTGGCAGATGCAAAGCCGAAATGATGTGAGAGCTCCTGCTATACTGATATGCAACATTTTTGAACTCAAACTAATACCTGCTATATCGTAATCCCTCTTATCATAGCTATGCCTCATTTCCGAGTTTGAAGTAACACCAGAGTAATACTCTATATTTGTAATTCTGAGTTTGAAGTAATTGTACAGCAACAACAAACGTACAGTTACCCCCCTCTCCCCAAGCAGCCTTTTCTCACTTCCAAAAAACTCTGTTTTTTAAACATAACATTCACAGATTGAGGAAGGTTATGTGTGAATCACTGGAAAATCCTAAATTTAGTTTTAAGTCTTAAAGTTCAATTCCATACAAAGCAAACCTCAGTCCTCACCTGTTCTCCAGCTTGTGATTCACCAATAATGAATCGATCACCAGGGCCATCAGCAGCTGTAAATATCAAACATATGAGACACACGCAATTAAAACTGCCTCTGAATATATACGTCAACAGAGTTGTGTAAAAAATCATAACCTATGAATCTGCTCACCTCGTACAGCATACCCATCTTTCACTGAAGCTGGAAAAGGTGGCAGGTTGTCTTTTGCAAACACGTCCTGTGCCAGAACCCGGCCCATTCCATCTAAATGAAACACAAAGAAATCTGCTTGCATAAAAATAAACCAGACTTCACAATTGATGAATAAAAATAATAATAATAATCCTTGCATTTGATATAGCGCCATATCACATCTTCGAGACATTACAAAGTGCTTCACAGACTATACTTAAAGTGAATTGACTGTACATTTTGTGGGTGAAAAGCACAGACCTGACCAAGTTGAGCAGGTGGCTGACCTGCATGTCAGATACAATTTGGTTACTGAATACACTCATGCAATCTAATGGCTGCAGTTTGAGATCAATGTCATCTTTAAGATGCTAATGGCGTGTATTGCAGTGATTGTGGTGAGTGAGATTTTCTAATTGAAGAGACCTTTCCTCTGATTAATCTGTTTTCTTTTCAAAATAGCTCTGTGGGGACGTGGAGAAGATTGGCCCTGGGCACAGAGGCAAATGACTTGTGCTGGACCATTAAAATGAAATGTTAACTGGTTTGAAAAATCTAAGTTTTTTTTATTTTGCTGTCATTCAATTTACAGCCCGAAAACTCAGCATTGTTGGGCTTGCTGTTCTGTTCTACATTATTTCATTCCTTTATAGCAGTCAAATTGCAGTTTGTTCCCCCCTTTAAGATGTCTTTTGAAGAGCAGCAGAAAAGAATTCTAGTTTGCACTTTGTTGAAAAAATAATTTGAAACATTCAAAACAAAAATTAACCACAAAACTCTCATTCACTCCGAAAACTGAAAGCAGGTAAAATAACCAAAACCTAAACTAACAATCATTTTATGGTGTTTTTATACTTCCTCCTCAGTGAGGCAGGTCAGTGTAGCCTTTTTTGCTGAGGATGAAAAACTTGTGTGTTGAGTTGGTGTGTTGAGTGTGTTCAGCTGGTGAATCGCTTCCACCCAGAAATGATTACAAACGTGCTAATGGAGGGAGTGAGAATAAAGTTCAGATCATCCTTAGTCAAAGCAAAAAGGTACCCCACATCAATTGTAGGATGAATGATAAAAGCTCAAAGAGCTCATTGCAAAGAAAACATGCCCAATTTATTCTGTCAGATACAAAGATTCAAAGAGCTGTATTTCCCTTTGTAATTGTCACTGTATTAGTTTTAATTTCAGTATTTTTTCCCTTTGTTTGAAGAAAATTATAAAATTGTGTTTGGCTTAAGATATGGAATTCAGAGGACATTCTAAAAGCTGCAAGTTCTTGTGAAGATAAAATACAATGTCTGAATTGGGGGCATACTCATTGCATATTACTGTTGCTCTTTTGTAAGGATCTGATCAAATGTGTTGAAAGGCCTACAAATGAAACTCTCTTGTGATTTGAGATGAGCCTGATCCCAACTGTGCCTCCAATATCACGCAAGAATTTAGGAATTTTCACTCTTTGTTCCCTAATTTTAAGCTCTCAGGAGATTTACATTTTTGTTGGCACATCTTTAACAGTAAGGCGGTTGCCATTCACAATGGGCATCTAATAGTATCAGTACTTTAGAAATTGAACTGCAGAATCCATATGAAAGGATTTTCTTTTACAATTACATATCCCATAGACTGCCAGTGGTAAAGCATCTAACCCTATAATGCATGTAAAGTTCACGTGTCCAGTTACAGCTTAATATAGTATCACCTTGACTTGTTTATGCTCTTTTATCTTAATTACTTTTGAATCAATAATAAGAAAAGGTGGAAAATGGAGGTGGGCATCAAATGCACTGGAATTTATTTGAATGTAGAAGTGTTTAATATCTCACATTACTGATGAAGAAAGCTATATACTTCATGGCTTTAATAAATGAGTTAGCCTAAGATAAATCAAATTATGTAATAAAATGTCTTTCATACAATTCTTAACAATATTCAGTTCATTAATGTAGCACATTAATAATGCAGAGGTATTAAAAGCATGGCTTAAAATCATGATTTATGCACCACTGTGTGGTGTAATTGTACAGTTGTGGTTATCATAATAAAAGCATCCAGCAACAAAGCTGTTTAGTCACACATCTCACCAGAAACGCATCATTATCAAAACAAAATGTATTTCTCTCCACACAATTTTCAAGTCAATTTAAATGATTAGTTGGACCAAGCTCTGAGGAAATCTCAGAAATCCACATGGGTAAAGAACAATAAAACATTTCTACCTCACGTTCAAAACTATTCAAAAGAAGTACATAAGAGATATAGGTCACCTTATTAGGAATCCTTAATTATTCAAGAATGAGTTATTGCTCATCTTCATGGGCCAGTTAGTACGCAAAAACAAAAACACAATGATTGGTAGAATGACTAATGTCTTTTGTACAGCGGCTCACAGAAATAGCTTACTGAAACTGCCATTTTTTTTTAATCTTAAAATTGTTCCGAAATGTATGGAAGAATGAAAAAGAAAATAAAGTGGGGTCATTTCTGTTCCAAAATTATTTAATAAAGGATTTAAAATAATGTCTGCACTAATCACCTTCAAATTGACATAATTAATCATTATTCAATATGATGTAGTTTTTTTTCCTGTTAAACTATTTTTTAAAAAAATACAACCTCCTCTGTATACATCAATACCAATCTAAATCAGCAGGTGCATGAAAGCAGGTTGAGGTAATTTGCCTACTCAACGTCTTGGGAAGTCCTCCCGATGTGAAAGACTCTATATAAACGCAATTTTGTTATTTGGTTTTTGCTTCCTTTGGATTTAACTCCTCCAGCTGCTTAATGACTATAATTGCAGTTGAGGCTACAGAAAAAGTCAGCAACAGTGTATTAAAGTACTGCCATATTAGTGAAAATGGATTTCATCTTTATCTTCAAATCCATATACATTCATGCTGGTTTGAGACTCTCCAGCCTACGATATCCTGATGGCATTTTATGAAATCATCCATTAAAAGGCCGCTCCTCTAAGAGGGGACAGATTTCTTCACATCCGTGATTTGAGCCGCTTACTTTGAGAAATGTTTCAAAGCTTTCCTCCCATCTCAATTGATATCTATTATGTTGGCAGTCCCTCAGTGAGACAATGCATATTTTTAGTGGCCGAGTCCTTGCCTCAGGTTTGTGAGACGATGAGATGACACAGTGATTAAAATTGTTTTTCTAGTTAATTAAATCCCACCTTCCTACTCAAATACAATTAACTTCCATCCTTAGCTCCCCAGATAGAAGTTCTACCATCAGAGCCCACACACAACAGCTGGCCAAGTTATAATGTGTAGCCTTTGAGAAAATTAGTCTCCCTGTTATCACAATAATTTTTCCATATCACATTCCCTTACCTCTCTGTTTAAGTATTCCCCCCTTCTTAATATTCCCAAAGAACTCTGCAACTATGAACCTGTGCTTCCAGCAAGATCTAATTTTATGAAGCCCATTGAATCAATCCTAGCAAACTTATTTACAAACCTTATATTAATGTCCTATCTATCAATACGTACCCTTCAAATGGCTTATTTGTGCAGCATTACATCGTTCCTGTGGAGCCCAAACTATCAGTGCCAGTACTAATAAAATTGCCAAATGCCCTTCAAGATCGATAGTAGATGGGGAGAGTTAGTTTGAATGCAAATAAACTCATTTCTGTGTTCCTAAAGGCTGTAAGGAAACCTTTTATATTTGTAACCTTTGCTGGGGTATCCAGTCCATTACGCCTGCTTCTTATCATTTTCTCATTATTATATTTGTCAATAATTAAGTTATAAAAACATACATTTGAATTAAAGATGAAGTTAAAAGTTACTGAATGTTATACTGAGCAGGTGGAATCATTTGGCTGCAGTTGAACTGTACATTTGGTATTGATGCCATGCTGTCACTTGCAACAGATGGGTGCCAAAAGAGCAGCATCACAGTGCTGATATGGGTTGGCATCAATGCAAGTGAAGTCTTCTCTAAAAGATGCTCTTGATTCTTTTCACAATACCTGGTAGGCCGCTGCACCATCACTCAATTTCTAGGGCCTAGAAAGAACGAATGTGCTGTCAGCTTTGGATAACCTGTAAAAAATTTGGTCAATCTCGCCAGTGACTAGAGCCCAGTGGGCTGACACTCAATGTGCAAGAAGATCACAGTAAACTGGTCAGATTATTAATAAAATTCTGTTGTGATATAATTTCACCTCAAGAATGATGAATGCAGAGGGCAAGATTTGAAACCTCATACCTGAAAGAAGTTGATAATAAACCTGTGGTACCAAAAAATTGCAGGATAAACATATCAGATCAGGTGAACATCGTTTCTGTAATTAGTTTTGGTCTTCTCTCCTCGCCCTCCAAAACTACTGCCTAGATTTAACTTCTAGGAATCCATCAAGTTAAGCCAGCCATACGTACAGCAGCTTTAATGTCGGTGCCCTCAATCATACCTCGATAGTTGATTATTTCAGTGCCAAGAACGGGAGTCATCTCCAACACAGTGATGAAGGCCTTGTCCATCGACGTTAAAGGGAATGGAGACATGCGATGTCGTCGGGCCACCTTGCTGATATCAACTGCACTGTGGCCTAAAAGTAACAAAATGCAAAGGATCAATACTCCCGACAGATTTTCTGCAGCACAATTGAAACTGGAAACTGAATACCACTGATACTGTCAGCTTCCAGACACACACGAGCATTTTAATGTCAAAATATATTGGGTGGGAAATAATAAAGTCACCCAGCCCAGGAAGGTTCTATAACCAGCTGCTGCCTGTAAATTGTACTGTCACAAAATGGTGAAATAAAAGAAATACCACACGTGAACATTCTTTTTGGCAACACCCAATCAAGAATGAAGTATGAAGCTTACAAGTGAACAGTAGAAATTTAAAACCCAAATCCTGATGTTCATACAATTGGAAATTTGGAACCCACTGCAACTGCTTAGAAGATTATACACTGCCCTGGTGTGGACCTGAGCCATACCAGATTTGGTTCAATCCCCAGGGTGTGCTAAACTCTGTGATTCAGCTGAGGCAGCAATGGACTGTAAGTTTCTTCTTCAGTACTCTGGTCGGGGGGTGGGGGGGAGGAGTATCATAGAAAAGAACAATGTAATTCAATCCCACTCCCCAGCCCTTTCCCCATAACCCTGCAAACCCGTCCTCCTCAAATATCCATCCACCGCGTTTTTAAAAGTTGTTATCGAATCGGCCTCCACCACCCTTTCAGGCAATGCGTTCCAGATTCGAACAACTCGCTGCGTGAAAAAATTTCTTTTCACCTCCCCTCTGCTTCTTTTAGAAACTATTTTAAATCTGTCTCCTTGAGTCACTGACACACCCACCAGTGGAAACAGTTTTTCCCTTTCTAACCCATCAAATCCCCTCATGATTTTCAAAACCTCCATTAGGTCTCCTTGTAACCTTCTCTGCTCCAATGAGAATAATCCCAGCCTCTCTAGCGTTTCCTCATAACCAAGGTCCCTCAGTCATGGTACCATCCTTGTAAATCTCCTCTGCACCCTTTCCAATGCCTTAACATCCTTCCTATAGTGTGGTGCCCAGAACTGGGTGCAGTATTCTAACTCACGCCTAACCAGTGTTTTATATAGATTAATCATAATCTCCTGGTTCTTGTACTCTATGCCCCTATATATAAAGCCTAGTATCCCATATGCCCTTTTTACAGCTTTATCTACCCGTTCTACCACCTTCAAGGATTCATTTACCTGAACCCCCAGGTCTCTTTGTTCCTTCACCCCCCTTAAGATTGTATTACCAGCCTATATTGTCTCCCCTCATTCCTTCTTCCAAAATGCATTACCTTGCATTTCTCCACATTGAAATTCATTTGCCATGTGTCTGCCCATTTTACCATTCTGTCTATGTCTTCTTGCAGTTGGCGACTATCCTTCTCACTGTTTACCACCCTACCTAACTTTGTGTCATCCGCAAACTTGGAAATGGTACTTGCTATACCCAAGTCCAGATCATTTATATATATTAAGACGAGCAGTGGTCCTAATACCGATCCCTGGGGGACGCCACTGTACACTTCCCTCCAGTCAGAAAAGCAGCCGTTCACCACAACTCTCTGCTTTCTGTCTCCCATCCAGTTCTGGATCTATGCTGCCACTGTCCCTTTTATACCATGGGCTTCTATTTTTCTTACAAGTCTTTTATGTGGCACTTTGTAGGAGAAAGAGTTGGAAGAATATTTACTTGGGGCTCCCACAGTTAATCAATATTCACTCTGTGCTGGAATGTGCATGCTGGAATGTGGATATCAGATAAAGATATGATCGGGTTTTACAGCATTTATCAGGTCACTGACCCCAACTGAACACAGGATACCCAAACAGAGCAGTGCATGTCAAGTGTGCACGCATATCCAACAGGAATGAGTACTGGTTGAAAACAAATGAGCCAATTTTCCAGTTGACGTTTGTTATTTTCAAATAATAATTTTGATACAAAAGAAAATACCATTTTACCCACAGATTCTGAATCCTTTCTGGGCTCAATTCTGGGAGCTCCACCCTGAGCCAGTAAGAATCTCCTGCGAATAGAGTGGGTGGGTGGATGGGCGTGCGGAAGAAATTGGACTCCTCAAATCAAAAAGAAATGAAACCACTGCCATTCCATAAATCAACTGGAATAAAAATTCACATCTCTGGAGTGTCCAACTCCATGAAAAGGATGCCTGGACTCAATTAATTGAACTCCACAGCCCTCAGGTATTCTTAGAAAATTTCACTTTCAAACTCTCTTGCAGCTGGTTATTACCCAGCTTTGGGGAGCTGAAGCAAAAGCAATTAAACCAGCTTGCAAATAATCTCACTGTGGTGTTCCATCCATCTCCAATCCTTCATTTTTTGTGTGCCTGCACCCCCCCACACCACCACTCCACCTCACTTAATCCGATATGTATGACCTGCTGTAACCCTTCTCTGATCCATCAGTAAAAATCAGTGCGGTTTATCTTGTTCTGATTTCTTTCTCTCATGTAGGTATGATTTTTGTTTCTGAGTCGAAAGGTATTTTGAGACGTCTCAGTAAAAGATGTGATTCACCGAGTTGTGAGCAACTTAAGATAAATTTCTCAAGGACTGCCTGTAAATACATTGCAGTGAGCTCAGCTGCTTGTTTTGCCCACTAACGTGCAGCACTAATAACCTTCTTGAAGGACTCTCTAAACATCTGACTCATTTACTGGTAATGTACTGATGACTTTAATCTGATAAATGTTGAACGATGAGACGAATGTTGATGTTGCTTCTTTACCAAAGTAATAGCAATTTTAGACAAACAAACATTTGGCTCAATAGATTGTGTTTGTTTCACTGAATCAAATAATTTTATTTCCTAGATTGTGCTCACTTTTCTGAATGCTCTCTATCCACACTCCTAAAGTACTGAATTTGTACTTTATTGGTAGGTTTGGTTGAGTTTGTAAGAGGCCTCAGTTTTATTCTTACAAAGCACAGACTGTACAACAGTTGTGGAGAGGCTCAGGTATTTATGTGGCAATTGGCACAGGACAGATGCAAGCTCTTGGATAACAATGGAAGAGGATTACCTCTTGGTCAAATTTGTACCATATGTTGATTACAAGCCTCAGGTCATGCACAATCCTCTGAAGGTCTACCAACTCTTTAGAGACATAGAAACCTACACAAGTTGCAGACAGGGCTCTTGAGAGAGACACACACATATGTACATATACCTATAACATTTATGACCTGGACAGCTAAAGAAAATGTGGTACTTGTGACCATTTTCCAGGGAGCTGGCAAATCACTGAGTCAACAGACAGAAAGCTCAAACCGACAAAATTCTTAAGCAAGAAGCTGGATTGTTAATTCTGGTTTCTGGTTTGTGAATACAGATTGCTCGATATGTATGAGAAGAGCATAGAAAAATTCTGTGTTACTCAGCATTTTTCTAAACTTTCTCGGCCACTTTGTCCCCGTCCTCTGCCACTGTTCCAAAGACCCTTTATCCCTGCATTCAAAACGATTGCTTTCTTCCACTGCGATTTAGGCTATCTTCTCCCTGCCCACTTCCAGCTCGGCCTCTCACTCAGTTTGTAAAGCACTTTAAGACATTCCCCTGACGTGAAAGTTGCAATTTAAGTGTAAATTATTGTTTCAGGAATCTCAAAATTAGCAACTCAACCTCTAGAATTTACATTTTTGCCCCCTGTGTGTTAAGATCATTACAGGCATCGATTGCCTTCAAGCATATAATACACTCTTTATGACAGATGACTAGCTGGTGACCAAGTCCAGATAAGGATAATAACAGCTAGTAGCGTGACTATTTTTTCTGGAGGTGGGGTGGGGGGGGGGGGGGGGGGGGGGGTGGGGGCAGTGGAATAAGCTAGAAGTGCTACAATATTTATATAACACAATCTGAGGTAGCATGAGGTAAATAACTTAATTTTGCACAATGTATGTCACAGATCAACTGAGTTGCAATGTGCAATGATGAGATGCACAACTACATTTCGGAAATAAATGTTCTGGTAAAAAGCAGAAGCTTTAAAACAATTAGATGTTGGGTTCCTTAACTTTACAAGAATAACTGAAGATGGCTTGACTGAATGAAAAATTGACATAAGATTTGATGACTTTATCCAACTGTAGGGTGTGCCACTGATTCTGGCAATAAGGCAATCCCTTTGCTGTCTAACTTGACATTTAAACAAAATGTGTGCAGATGACATTTAGATTAAACTCTGTTGCTGTGAGTCACAGCTGTCAGCTTGCTGCAATTAAATATGCACTGAGCTGCAGCAGGAAAGACTCCATTCCCACGAGCGGGATCAAACCAGGTAAGTAGGCTGCGTCAAGCTGAGGAAATGAGCCTCACATAACATGTAAAAGGCACGGTATGTTTGCAACAAAATGTTAGCCACATGCACGTATTCTTTCACATCAATATGGTTGGTCAGTGAAACAGTGAAAGCCAATTGACCAAAAGATGCTAGCTTGATTCAGTTGGTTGTACTCTCGCCTCCAGGCCAGAAGATTTTGGGTTCAAGTCCCACGTTAGCTCACAGTCCAGGCTTGTGGTGGCCAACCTGTGCTCTGCGGGGCGTCAAGAAGCAGCCCCCAAACATTTGCATAAGTCCAGGTAAGTCCGTGATTCATCGGAGTGTTTTTCCAGTTTTTTCTTGGCATGAATCAAGAAATATTCAATAAAGAAAATTTATTTGGTGGGCCAACCTTCAGTGATCTAGGTTGACACTGTTATGCATTGCTTGGGGAGTGTTGCATTGTCGGTGATGCTATCTTCCAGGTGAGGTATTAAAACCGAGGTCAGTTCAGATTGATTTTTAAAATTCTATGGCATAACTCAAAAAGAGAAGGGAGTTTCTCCTGGCCAACAATCCCCCAGATAAGTGGGCCATTGCAGTATATATTAGTTGCTGCACTTGCCTACAAATACAGAATCATGACACTTCACAGAAACTTTGTGAAGCTCTTTGAGATGTTCAACATTATAGGCATTGTATCAAATGTAAAGATCTTATTGTGTCTGTGTAGACATAATTTTATAACTTTCTTCCTTGTTTTG